GCGCTTTCCTCTGGGGCCTTACCTTTTATCGTGGTCAAAATGAAGAAAGCAATGAGGGTGTTGTTGATGGCACAGGTAGACTTGGCAACACAAGACAAGACGGTGTAGGGATTTAAGAGATAGCTGGGGAAAAACATACAATGTTGGCATTAGTAATCCCGGTCAAAGCACCAGGGAGTCCTGGCCACCACAGGCAGGCAATTCAAGAGATTTACTAACACCATACTCAAGGGAAGGCAACTTCTTAGAAATGAGTTCTCTTAAGTAAAAGAGAATGAAATGGGGTTGGGACCAATGAGTCTAAGATGCTGAACATTCACTGCCTATTCTGTGCTACATGGTATATCATCACAGAGATCCAGTAAACTAGCAACACCATTAGTCCTCTGATGGAGAAACTGAGACTCAGTGGTTAAGGAACTTGCCCAAGGTTTCATAAGCTAATCAATACATTCAAAATCCGGACTTTCTGGCTCGAAAGCCTATGTTCTTTTTATTACTTCAGATATCATAAATGATAAAATTTTACCAATTCCCACAGAGTCATATATTTTAGGAATGGCTACAGTTATCTCTGAAAACCAGGAAAGTAATTTTTCCTCAATCAGGCTCCCAAGCTCTGATGCAGGCTACCCCCCCTTTCCTCCAAGAGGCCAGAGCAGCTTGCGGTTAGCCCTCTGGGTAGTCAAGCTGTATCTACCAAGCCAGACCCTCAGGACAGGGTAAGTATCTGCTGAATTCCACAAGCTGGTTGCCACAGAACTTCACAGGGCATCTTGAACTTCCACTGGGAAGGAATTAAGCTGAAAAACCTAGTCTTTTTCTGAGGTGGAAAGGAATGGACTGAGAAATGAATTTAAAATGCTGATGAGGGAAATTTTATAGTCATAATGGATGATTATTTTATTTATTTCTATCCTGCTTCCACAGAAGATTTGAGGCCGCTCAAATGAGAACAGATAATAAAAGCTAATAGCAAAATAAAAACAGAAATAAAAAATTAAGACCAGGAAAAACGTAAATAGAAAAAAAATAAGGGCCAGGGGAAAAAAGACCAAAGGGTCTTCTACAGCACTGTAATAATCAGCTTCAAATCTGGCTCTGAGTTTCCTGGCAGACAGAGTGAAAAGGGAGACCAGTTACATAATTCTGATTATTAGATAGGAAGAAACATACCAGCATGTCAGGGACAGATTATAATTATTATTCACCAATAAAGACCTTAAGTCCAATACCTCCCAGGGCTATAAGATCAGCAGTTCTAAAGCCAAAGGCCCAGAAATTGTTGGTGTTTTTTTTTCAACAATTACAGATAGGCCTGTTACACAACCCTTAAAGAAATGGCTGCCACTATTATAAAAGTATCCCCAGGAGATATAAGAGTCCATAAGGGATTCATAATGTTGCTAAACCTCCGGTTCTATTAGGTAGTTCCTGCCAATATTTCCGAAATACATAGATATGAAAGTTGTTTGGTGGGAGAGGGAAAAAAAGCCATTTCTAAATAGCAGGTGATGTTCAAGAAGAAGCTGCACAGCCACCTATTTGGAACACTGAACAGAAGATTCAACACAAAGCAGAGGGTTGAATAAACTGCCCTCACAAGGCCCCATCTAATTCTGAAGTTCTAAGGTCAGGTTTTTCCATGAGGAAACTTGTCTGTCTTATTTACAGTGTATCCCTTTGAAGCTAGTATATTAATATTCAGTGACTGTTAGTTTGACTGAATAATTGTCACATTTGCCTATCTCCGGAATATAAATGGGAATAACCTGAAAGAATTAAATTTACTGGCAGCGCTGAGCACTCCCCGAGAAATCTTTTACAGAGCTTCAGTAAGTTCCATTCTCCCATACTGGTGTCCCAGCTGGGATGGGTCCGTTTGCCTAGTTTTCTAAACTACAAATGGGGGACTAATTGTACATGAAATATAGGAGCTGCTCAAAATAATGGCCACATAAAGATCAGAATTTTATTCAATCCATATATACAATTAAAGAACTTCTTTTTTTTTTGAAACACTGGTTACAAGTAGGCTGGAGCCCAGATCAGCATAGAATGAAAAAGCATTTGTAAAGGGTTGATTGTGCATGTCCCTGTGTGAGGCTTTGTCCCAACAGAAACAGAATGGCTCTGTCTCTTTTGCTGGCCAGAACCCCAGTTGTGCAACAGAACCGCAGCAAGTACTTGATGACTAAGACTGCAAATCTCCAAAAATACAACAAACAACATGAGAAAGTCTCATCAGATTTTCCTTGCGTTTGTTGGCACTGAGCCCTGTTTTGTCAAAGAATACTTACAACAGGGCCACTTTTAGAGGGATGGAACGCATTTCCATCGGGGTTCGGATGAGTTCGGCCACATCTGGGGCATATTGGTCTAGTTCTAGGAGGAGTTTCTGCTTTTTAAACTGGAAAAAAGAAATGACAAAACACATTACTTCCCGTTGATTTTAGAATGAAGACAGCAGTCCTTCCATGGCCCACGTGGCCCCACCTGGTCTGGCCCTAGCTGTCCAGGCTCAACTCACCCCCACCTGTCCCCTCACCTCTCACTCTCTGGGTTCTAGCACCATGAACATGCCGTAACCCTCATGCTCCCAGGCCTTTGCATTTGACCTGGAACAACCTGTTCTCTTTCCCTAGTTAGCTCCCACATCACCTTTAGATCTCAGTTGAATCATTTCTTCCTCAGGAAGACACACTCACCCCCCTCAGTAGGTAAAATCTCCCTATAACATTCTTTCATAGCACTGTTCACGGTTACAACTTTCTTATTTATGTGACTAATATCTGTCTCCCTCACTAGACTATGAGTTCCATGAGGGCAGGGATGATGTTTATTTGCCAGGACCTGGTACAGTGAGCAAACAGTAAATATCTACTGAATGGCTAAATGAATGACTGAGTGGCAAAGCAAGGTTCTCAGCCATTCTGAACAAATATCATTGGGGCGCCTGGGTGGCTCAGTCAGTGAAGTGTCTGCCTTCGGCTTAGGTCATGACCAGAGTCCTGAGATGGAGGCTCCCTGCTCAGCGGGGAGTCTGCTTCTCCCTCTCCCTCTGCCCCTCCCCCTGCTCATGCTCTCTCTCTCTCTAATAAAATCTTAAAAAAAAAAAAAAAGAGTAATCATGAGTGGCCTAAGGACTCCAAAGTTCCATCAGCAAAGTGAAATATTTTCATACAAAGTAAAATGATCCCCTGAATGTCACAGTATCCCAGGTTTTCTTCCAAGCCCTCCTGTTTCAAGTTTTTGACTCCCACAGAGGAAGTGGGGAATGGCCATGATGAAGGAAGGAGGACGGCTGGGTGTGGCTGGGCAGCTGGATAGTCTAGAGGGAGTGAGATGGGGGCGGAAAGCTCTTGCCTTCCCCTGGTGTGTCCCAACAAGTTCATGGGTGTGCTCCAGAATGAAGAAAAGTTAGTCAACCCTATAAGCAAACATGGGTCAGATTATAGATGGAAAAAGCCTCTGAACCCAAAACGGGGAGCTTTGCTGATTTAATGGTCAGAGAATCTTATTTCAAGAGCATAAAATCAATGCTGCAACTGATTATAAAACAGAGTAGTACAGGGGAGCCAGAGTAGCGAGTGCTTAACTGGGCATGATAGAAGAGTTAATGATGAAAAAGGCATGTGTAAAACGCATATTGTATCGTGCCATTTACACAAAGTTAAAAGCATGCAAAATAATACTACGTGTTATTTAGGGATATATACAAAAGTAGCAAAAGTTAAGGCCCTGTGGGGGGACAATAAACACTAAATCCACTACAGTGTGAACTGGTAAGAAGGAGAATAAAGAGGTGAACATTTCAGAGGCGAGTATATTGTAATATATTTATTTTTTATTTATTTATTTGAGAGAGAGAGTGCACAAACATGAGGGGGAGGAGGGGCAGAGGGAGAAGGAGAGAATCTCAAGCAGACTCCCCAGAGTGCAGAGCCCTACACAGGGCTCGATCCCACAACCCCAAGATCATGACCTAAGCTGAAACTAAGAGTTGGACACTCAACCAACTGAGCCACCCAGGTGCCCCATGTAATGTTTTATTTTTGAACCTGAAATAGGTTCACAGTATGTATTATTCTTTACATATTTTTGCATGTCTTACATATTTCATAATTTTTTTAAATGGAAAGCTTTAAAAAATTTTTAAAGATTTGCTTTTCAGTTCAAAAGAAAATCGAGGAGTTGGGACGCCTGGGTGGCTCAAGCGGTTAAGTGGCTGCCTTCGGCTCAGGTCATGATCCCAGAGTCCTGGGATCAAACCCCACATCGGGCTCCTTGCTCAGCAGGGAGCCTGCTTCTCCCTCTGCCTGCCGCTCCCCCTGCTTGTGCTCACTCTCT